AAATTTCCGCAAGTACTTGTACTTTTACTTGAGTATAGATTTTATAAACTCTACCCACCTCTGATTGTAACTCACTAGCAATGATTCAGCATGTACATTTAATAATGTTAAAGAGATTTAATACATATTATTTAGATTAACCTTACCATTTTGTGAGCGAGTGCACATGTTCTGTGCTTCTGAATGGCTGTATTTAAATTTCTGTCGTGTTTCGTTTGGTGCAAACAGCCAAATTGCTAATCACTCCTCATGTAGCATGTTGTTAACACACAAGATTACAATGTAATCTGCTAGCCTAATGTTTAAGCTCGTAATATTTATTTGATAATTATTAACCTCACATGGAACGAATTTTTGAGTCTGCAACTGACCACTGGAGGTCGGTTTTGATTTTATGGGTACTTTTAATAGTGTTGTACTCTACCTCTCTCACAAATGCAGAAGCACCATCGGTTTTGCAGCTCTGAATATTCCTCACCTGGAGCATCTGGGTTTGCGTTCACTGAAGGAGATCAGTGACGGAGATGTGGTGGTTAGGAACAATCCTCAGCTGTGTTACACAGACGGCAGCTACTGGACGAAGCTCTTCAGATCTGAGCAACAGCGCATACGCACTGGAAACAACGCAGCACCGCACATCTGTGGTATCAGAGTTCATATTTCAGTTTCAACAACTGACTCTTGTAATTGCTATTTCAAGCTTTAGTGTCCTGATTTTTTACAAAACAAAAACTAAATCAATGGTTCACACGTAGCAAGATAATTTAAGTAATTGAGCTGAATACACAATAAAAAAGGTTTTAAGGTTGCAGAACAGTTTATTTAACTGTACATTCACTTTAAATTAACAATAAATAAATGGATATATAAATGGACAGACAAACAAACCAGGTTTCTGGATTCCAGGTCTCTGGATTCCAGTTTCTCTGGAGTTAATAGACTTATTTGGTCTGTGCTTTAGTAAAAAAATTTAATATTAGCTTTATTTTATAAGGGTCTGATAATATGTCTTCATGGTTTACAAATTTAAAAAAATGGTCATTTTGAGTTTTTTTTCCCCGAAAATTATAATAGGTGGAAATAAAAAATGTATTTACTTGTTATGATTGAAAACACAGTGGGGTGAAAAATCCATACATGCTTGAAATAACTTTAAACATTTACTTTTAAACCTTTAAAACAGG